GTAAAGTATTAGTAGACTTGTAATAACAATATCAATTTTACTTGTGTCATTTTAGCTTCGAGAAAGTGATTTGTTTAAATACAGACATCACCAGCAATAAGATACATGGTATCATGTATCGAAGTATATCTTAGCGTATTTTTTATACTAGCGTTTATTCATATTACACGGCATCCGATTTAAGATTACAAAATGTCAATGTTAATTAATTAGCTTTTGGAATGTCTATATTGTCAATACTACTGAGGCCGGACCGCTGATCGCAACGGCCTGAGATATATTATAAATAGTTTGAATTTTGCTCCAACAGATTCACAGGGAGATTTTGTTTACAGAGTTTTGGCGTCCATCTACAAAATTACAATACGGACGCCAAATTGTTTCAATAGTTAAAAAAAATTACGTAACAAAGATACTGGCATGCCCAGTATTTATTTTATTAGGTACAATTGCACATAAATACATACTAAGAAATAGTATTCTATAATATTTTGATTAGCATTTTAACTCCTGAATATGAACATGTACTAGGCTAATTATATCAGTGAATCTGTTGTAACGTGTTATAAGTACAATCTATAATTATACAATATTAACATAATTTATATAATTATTAAATACAGAATTTGAACAAGTCTATTCCCTACTTGTTTCGTGTTGGTGCACTTCTATAATATGTTAGGTACTTGAAGCTTGACTCCATTACTCCTATGTATATCTAGATATCATATCGTGATTGTGAAATTTAACATGTGATAACATTATATACACAATAACACACGGGATTGTGATGAATAACAGTCAAGCTTTAGCTAAGTAGGTTTAATACATGTATAGATGAATACACAGCGTAAGTCATGTAAGTATATAATATAATATTACGTGTTATAGATAAAAGAAGACTATCAAATAATATATTTTCTTCGTGAGAAGCGTCAGTTCATATCACGATGTTTTTATATCGTAGAGACAATGTGAAACGATTTTACATAATTTAACAATGAAATACGTTATTTGTATATTGTTTGTTGTAACCTTAAATATGTGACTAGTTTCGATGATAGCACGCGTTTAAATATGAATAACAACGTTATTCTGCATATGTCGAGTTCATTAATAAATTGCTCTACATAAATTATAATCATTAGTTAATAGCTAGAATAATTCAAAATGACATGTAGACGCAGTCACGGAAACGCGATAATGGTTTTTGTGGACAATGTCATTTAATAGATAGTTGTCATGTTTAAAATAACGAAGTACGTACAATAGGCCTAAAGTTCTTCAAAGGAAGGGAGTCTAATCCTTGAAAAACAAAAACCTATCGTTACAACCATACTCTATATAAGTACTTACATCATCCCTTCTTCAGAAGAACCTCGTTGTTAATAATAATAATAAAGGGTATTAACACCGTAACACTTACATGATAGTAAAATAGAATGTAATAAATTTAACAGGATTCAACTTATTTACATAGCATTGTGTAGTAGTTTTTGATTATATGATTTATTTATTCCGAATTAAACATGTCTAAATTACACATTCGATTTTAAATCAAAGCACACTTAAAAAATCAAGCTGATTAACTTTAATACAACGTTTTACAAATTTTTTTTTAGTAAAAATAGACGCTAGGTCTTGGAAGTGGCAAAGAAAATTTAACATTTTTTCTATTCTCCGCACAACACCACCTTACTTAGCGCTCTAACCCTTTCACAACGATATAGCAAGATACGAAACGAGTATTAGTTAGAAGTCGATCAAAGTGAAATTACATGAAGATGGATTTACATTGATCGAGTAGCTGGTACTGTCACACGCCAAAGTATATATAAATATATATTTTTAATTTATGTTAAACATTAAACATTTACCGACATCATTTTTGGAAAATATCTCGTATGAAAATCGAATTTAAATTTTGATAGTGCACCTGAATGTAAATAATAGTGTCACTTGGTTTCTGCGTTGATTTGGTAACTAATTTATATTATATAAAACACATTTCAGTCCAGTTCAGTGTCATTATTACCTATACTATTAATAACGTGCAAGTAAATAAATACACCATTGACCTGGTTTTATCACGAAAATAAAAATAAGTTTGGGAGCAGTGCACTAAGGGTCGTATTCCAGAACTCTACTCAATGCTCAAGTCAGGACTTGAGTATTGCAGTGAGCACTGAAAATCTTACTCAAGTCCTTGCCTTGTATTTCCAGTGCTTGAAATCATACTCAAGTCTGCTCAAATCCTGACTTGAGCATTGAGTACAGTTCTGGAATACGACCCTAAGAGTACCCAGACCAGAATTAATTTAGAAAAGTTTGTTACTAACTTATTTATATTGACAAAAATTTGATTCAGCGCCTCTAAATCCCTAAAGTGCAACCCACTGGGCTATAAAGCTTGTTACTATTAAAATTTCCAGTCTCGGAATTAAATAGAGCGGTTGCTTATTCCTCAATTATCACGCTAATAGGTCAATGTAAAACAACCTTCACAGGGGAGTTTCTCTTTCCATTGAAATTATGACATTAACAACCGATTACTAACTTTTATTTTATCAAAGCCCCGATAATGCCACCTTTAGAAATTTGACATTGGTTATTTGTAAACATATTACAGTCTATCTAAAATAACCTTATAAATCATAATAACTTGTACATATGACGCTATAACAACGGACCTTCAAACCAAGAGATCTGGTAGCGATGAATATCTTCGTTCACGTGGACTCAAATGTTTATTTTTTATGAAATTAGTGAAACTCTCCATAATCGTACTTCTGCAAACTGGTCTTAATCTGAAAAGCAAGCGTGTTTGTTGTATTTTTATCGTAGTCAGCCATGTTTCCTTTAACGTCAATTGCTAATGTTTTGATTTTTATTTATTTATGCAAAGCAATTATTATTTTGGAACCGAAAAGTCCCTGAAACGCAACTAACATTATTTATCAATAATTATAGACCACATCTCTCTATCAGACAAGCGCTAAATAGGAATTTGGTTTTGCAGTAGTAAGTACAAAATGTCGTGTTTCGAACTCACCTCCGCCACAAACTTAATCCTTCTTCTCGCCATCCTCTGGATCCTTTAGCGTGTGCCACTGCGCAATGGGTCGTCGCGGGCTGGCCAGCATATCCGACCAATGACGTAGCTCGGTGCCCGACGCGTTGTACCCTAGCACCACCTTCCCAATTGGCTCCGATGTCCCGATGCGATCGTAGTCCACCACCGTTACTACTAGATTCACTTTCTGTTGTGTTTGGAACAGATTTGTTATTAGCCAAAGCCGTGCAAGTAATCCTTGTTCTTTTTGATAGTGGCTGTACTTATCAAACTTGTTATTAAAGTGTAGGTATTAAAAAGGCTGAACAACCTAAACGTGGAATGCGACATACCCATATATATGTATATTGCATATCCACTAGTATAAATAATCGTCTGAAAACTCAAATGCATATAACTAATCCACTATTTAGTTATATAAACATGGAGCTGTTAGGTTTTATTTTTTGTTTCGTCGTAAAGTGCAACCACTTTCAATAAGAATATTTTAATGAGTGCAAGTGTATATTTCGACTTATACGTAGAACAAAGACTTATGTGCAAGACTGCTTATTCTCAGGACATTGTACATTTCGTTCGCTGTTCTTAGCTGTGGATATTACATCGACTGTTGATCGATTTTATATTTCCCAAACGAAATACATAGGGCGCACTATAAGTTTCCGGAACTGGCCACTTACATAAACAATATTTAAAAAGTAATTACAACATTTGAAAATGGAACTCTTTGGCTATAGAATACAGTCTGTTTCATATGACTGTCACTTGTTTTTAAATTGTGGCGTCATTTTAAAAATTGGTTGTCAACATCACCATGGATTTAACTCGTGAAAATTTTCGTAGTATGATTTTCTACGACTTTAAGTGTAATTTAACTCAGCGGAGGTTCCCTCTGCTTCAAACTGCTTTTGGCGATGAAACACCATGCAAGACAACTATTTATAGCTGGTTTGCAGAATTCAAACGCGGTCGTTTGAATCACAGTGACGAATTTCGTGATGGTCGCCCGTCCACTGCTGTGAACAACAAACACATCGATGCTGTGCGCCGTATGATCAAAACAGACAGGCATGTCACATACCATGAGATTCGGGCATCTTTAGGCATAGGCATGAGTCAAATACAATCAATACTACACAAACATTTGGGTGTGAAAAAGCTGTGCTCTCGGTGGATCCCACACAATTTGACTGAGGCTCTAAAAACGAATAGCGTCACTTGGTGCAATGCCATGCTTACCAGATTCAATGAAGGGGCGTCAAATTTGGTGTGGGACATAGTAACAGGTGACGAAACATGGATTTATAGTTACGATCCCAAAACAAAGCAGCAAGTGAGCGTATGGGTCTTTCGAGATGAGCCGAAATCAACCAAAGTGGCGCGCGTGCAAAAATCTGTAAGTGGATGATTGCTTCTTTTTTTAATTAAACTGGACACGTGGCTACTGTTGCTTTGGTAGAGTCACTGTGCCGTGAATAGTGATTGGTACACGATCATTTGTTTGCCGAAAGTTATTGACAATCTCCGTAAAAATAACCGTAAACGTATCATCTTGCACCGCGATAATGCCAGTTCTCACAGACAGACAAATGAATTTTTCAAGGTGAACATCGTTGACCTTATGAGCCATCCCGCGTACAGTCCCGACCTGGCACCTTAATAATAAAGAATAATTAACAACCAGTTACGCGGTCAACGATTTTCGTCACCTGAAGAGGCTGTCGAAGATTATGAAAAATATGTTTCAGAGATTGTCACGGAGAAGAGGCATAAATGTTTTCAAAATTGGTTCATTCGTATGAAAAAGTGCATTACCGCTAACGGAGAATATTTTGAGAAACAATAAATTCATTACTGACCATTTATAGTATTTTTTTCTTATTCATTCCGGAAACTTATAGTGCGCTCCACGTAATACATGAAATTCTGAAAACACCTATAGCTAGGCCTTATTTTAAATAACGAGATTATGTACTTATCCTCTTTTCGTTGTATAATCATATCGGACTTTGTTCTTAGGATGAGTCGATTTAACAGTTTCTAGCAATGAATTTTGCATTAAACAGGTAAAAAGTAGACCACTTTCTACTAAAAAAGATCGTCTTCAATGGATCTACTTAGATATTTTTTGAGAAAGTTGAAATTAGAGTAGGTAATGACGTAAAGACCTGATAGTAGAATCTTAGTATGAATTTGATGACAATATTATGGTAAAATGTTTTTACCATTTTGTGGATTTTTAATGGGGGCCATAAATATGTATGTAATGATAATAAATAAATAAATGTAAATACTTATATAACAGTAACGAGAACCGCACTGACAAGCATTCAAGCGGACAATAAATATATTTGTGATATGAAAATAAAATCGAAGCGTTGGTTCTTGAACGAAATAATATTTTTTTTACACATTTACACCATATACTTATAAGTTCCAGTCGAGTGGAACTGGGTTATTTACATACCTTTAGGTGGTGAGGGTAAAAGCGGTCATTCATATGGTTTAAGAAGGTGGAAAAGTGAAAAATGAATCTTAAAGGACACAAAAGACTGTAGAAGAAACGAGGAACTGGATTCCTTAAACCAAAAGTAATTACAATTTGAAGTCACCAAATTGTAATGCAGTTACGAGGGGAGATTCCGACACCACTCAGTTACATGGACAAAGATGTTTATATCAATCAAAGCCAAAATAATTAGATCTTTACTAAATAATGGGAACCTTTATCTGAGACGTTAGTCACAAATAAAGGTCAGCATTGTCACATTTAAAGAAATCTAAACACATTAGCTTCGAAAAATATAAAAAAAGGGAATTCGGGTTGAGGGAAAGATTAAAAGGACTATTCACAGATTTGAAAGGAAACACACAAAACACAGCCAATACAAACACTAATAGAAATTACACATGGACTAACTAGCATCACAAACAACAATCAGACTACACAAAAAGAAGGATAACGACACCAAAATAATTTTTACTGAAGAGTATAATTGTAAAACAGAGTACAAAATAAATCTTGTGTATAAATTATAAAATAAAAATAACGTTTCAATTTTGTAAAATAATAGTGTATTTTGTAATGAAACAAAAGAAATCTTTGAAATTAAAACGCAATTTTCTTGTTGTATGTCAGGGAGTGGGATCGGTATGGATTCAAGTGGTGTATGTATCCAATCACAACAATTAGTACACAACATCAATTTGCGCGTAGTATGAACAATTTCGACGAAACTTAGCGTATCACAAACTTCGTTATACCAATGATTTGTATCTTTTCGATTGAGTGAGAATTTTGCAAAAGATTTGTCCAAACTATGCGCCACGACATCGAATTTTGTTCCAATCTCGGCTCGCACCTGTATTTGTTCGAATGGTACTTCAAAAGTAAATGACTCGTTGTAATAGGGATTCAGTGTACATTTCTTGATGCTCGTTTTCTTCTTCTTGAGACGTTTGCCATTTTGCATAAGAGCAATCTTTACGTACGGGTCTGTTGCCGTATGTCCATGACGCAGGATATGAAAAAGAAACATGAAATTTGTTAGTATGACAGTAATTATTTTAAAGCTATTAAGAAATGGATATTTTGTTAATGAATGCAAGAAATGTCTAATACTAATAATAAATTAATAACACAGGCGCTAGTCTAAACTGAAAAATAGAATATAACTCATTTTCTATTTAAACAAGGTAGCCCATTTACAATGGCCCGAAAATTTGTAATTCGGTTGTTGTAAGGATTGAGACTGGTTGAGACTTGAAAAGAAAATCATACTTACAAAAGAATAATAAAATATAAAAAAACATATAAAAAGACCACTACAATAAGTTTTCGAAGTACTTGTCCTTTGCAATACACATGCGACATTGGCGTAATAATTTTCTTTTTAGCCTGTGGAAAGCCCGTGTATTCTTTTTGTTGTCACTTGGATTTTTTAGATTTTAGTGACTATCTAGAGTAGGAAATTTTCGAAAAGTAAAAAGAATCCTAATTTACGAACTATTTATTTTTGCAGAGTAAATATTTATTTTAAATTAGTCGTCAATCTCAAAAAAAATTTTGGTCCGCTGTAAATGGGCCAGCCAGTATTCAAGCAGGAGTTGCGAAATTGTACCTAATTATGTCCAACTAAGTGCAAGAATTTAATTATGTGAGCGATGTTTTAGTATTCGTAATGTATTAAATAATAGTGAATGGTAAAGGGATAACGTGTCAATTTATTGCACAAAGGTAGAATTTTAATGCTATGTAGTTACTTACTGTGCCAGAGACAACACAGTGAGAAAATGATTGAATACTTAATGTGAAACATGCACTTTGGGTTTGGGCAAGTCTACCCTAAGGGTCAATACACACCAGTGAGCAACAGAGTTAAGAAAGTACGTATAAGTAAATAAGTTACCCTAAAATTCCTGTGAAATTGCATAAGTGTTAAGTAAATATAGTGTACAGTATACCATTGAGATGTAAACTAAGATGACGCACGAAACGTTACCTGATAGACCACCGACATCCATTTTCTTCAGGTTTTTAGCCTCCAGGATAACCACGGTGAGTTTTCCGGCAGTTGGTACGTAACGCAGCGAGAAACATATGTCTCCCAACTTGTTGTCCTGCAATGTTAAAGTGTATATTAATACATTTGAAAGTCGACACTTTCAAATGTATTAAGTAAAGAAGCATTATAGATTTTTCGAAACTGCCATCTAAATGTCGAACTTGATTTCCAGTCTGAAGTTCAGGGTCAAATATCAATTCCGGACAAATTCTGTAATTCAGAATTCAAAAGAAAATAATGTTGTTTTTTATGGGATTTGATAATTTACTATGCAAATCCTATAATTGAGTGTGTCAACTTTCAAATTGACTTTTGAATAGTTCGGTTCCTCTTGTGTGTATACGACCGCATATACACACAATAGGAACCGAACTATTCGATAACATTTTGAAGAACCTTTTGTGTCCTGTATCGGTTTCAGTAGTCCTGTGGCAGTTTAAATAGATATAGTGTCAAGTGACTGAATTTATTTATGTCCCTCTATTTAAATAGAAGTAGTATATTTTTTATACAGTTTAGCGGTAAATAAATAAAACGGGATAAACCAGCAATATCAATTGTGAATCTGGAATAATATAGGAAAATAGTGTAGGGATATAGCGTTCAGAGAACGACTTTGAAAGGCTGTATATAAATCATATGTAGATGATATACGGGCCATAAATAACGCGGCTTAGGGCGGATCGGGGTACTCAACAGACGAGTTACACGAAATAAAAACAAATGAACATAACAATAGCTCCGTGTAGTTACCTAAAAGCGTATATTTTATGGTTATTGGATTATCGGTACAGAATTTAAGTTGATTGAACACTTACGTGGTGATTAAATACTTACTTAATCATACATAGTTTTGCGAGGAGATTCTATCCTTTAATACGAACAACTCTTGGATCAAAAACTTTTTTTAAATCGATAAACATCCACTTGCCATACAAATCGAACGGCATAAGGTCTTATAGTTTGTATGGAAAATCGATCTCAACGATATGCAAACAAACCAAACAATGTTTTAAATTTTGTGGTATAATGTAAAAAAAGAGCTCAAACCAACTGAAATGCTGCACCGACGTACGTGCTTAAGGACGCATAGCCCATAAACGGTCGACTTATAGCCTCAAGAGAATGAACAATTGCATCTAGTCATACGCACATTTGACGAACACTTTCATTGCGTTACATATAACGTTTTAGCACATAGATGTAATTTCATCTAATACATGAAATTAAACACCATACATATTTGAAACATAATTCTATAAGACGAACATAACAACAAAAAGATACATCAACGTTCATATCAAACCTAAAAGAAGCAGTTTTCTGCTGAAATATATAGGTAATATTGGTATAGAAGAGGTAGTGTAATTTATTACGATCTGTTGCCGAAATGATGCCAATTTATGTAACACCCAGTTCAGATCATCGAAAGAAAAATCTACGGCTTTCCTTGGATCCTATACAACCTGCAATATGTAAATCCTACTCAGCGGTGAACTTTACCTTTGCTTCGATGTTGCCTCGACTAACCATTTTAGGAACAGATCGCAATCGTCTAATGGTCCACATATTAATACACACATATACATACATATAACTAGTCCTACTAAGTCGAATAATTGAAGAAATATCCTTGTCTGTTAATTAAAAAAATCAAATTAGAAATTTTAAATTGATTTGAGGAAATATAGCTTATCCACCAATAGATAAGAATGGCCTTCCCATAATTGTGGCCGTTGATTGGTCTAGAGCGTTTCCCCTTGCGTCCCGCAGACTATGAGACGTTTGAACCTGGAAATTTCTTCAATGTATACCAGCTATACGTAGATAAGTGTATATATACATTTATACAATCATAACACTAATACATTCGTGTACACCATAGACATCTAGTGACTTCTATTGTAGCAGGCGAATGAAGCATAGCGAAAGTAAACATTGTCCTTTTACAAAATTTTAATAATGTATAACTTTATTCATAATTGTTTTTTTCGATTTATCGGTTTTTAGATTAATCTCAAATATAAAGATAATAAACGAAAAAGACAATGCTTAGAGTTTTACCTTTAAACACACATTTAATACACAACAATAAAACATAATATATTAATGAATAATATTTTTAACAATTTTTTTACTTGTAAAAGAAAAAAATTAGGAGGTACGTAGTATAAAGATATTATCTTTTATTGTTTTAAGACACCACCACGCATGCGAATGGTCCGTTTTTTGGTCGAGTATCTTCTTTCGTCGGTCAGAAGGTGACCTGTAACATACTTGAGTATTTGTCCTTTTGTATTAAAGCACTCTTCACAAGAAATAATTCATATAACTAATAGGTAAGTGGTTTAAAAAATGTACATTTCCATTTAAAAATTATGACGGAAATTATGCACATCTGATTTGTCGTAAACTCAAAGGTAATGTTAACGTCATGATAAATGAAAGGTTAATAATTCTATGAATATATTGCTTGTACCTAATAACATTTTATAAAAACTTTTAATACAATTTCCCAAATACAGAATGGCGGGTTGTTAAGTCCTTTTTATGATAAAAGACCAAGGTGTCGACAGATATTAACACAGCCAATCACCACACGACATTTAACTCCTTGAATTGGCATTTGCATAAGTTGCTCGCAGAGTTATGATTCGAAAGTTTAAAAACTAATAGAGTAAAAAAACATCGTTATAGTTGCGCACAAATGTGGATGTAACTATGTGGAAACTCGCATTAGTTTTGCACAAAACTAATGCGAGTTTCTGACTCTACTGCCAATATGCTGCTCTATATCAACAGCGCTGTTAATGAATTTGAACAAAGGCAAATGGTTTTATTGAAATCTGTTGCAAACCACACAATATGCCAATTCAGATCGCACATTACGAGCACAAAATGACGGGCATGCAACATTCCCCAGCCGCAATAAAACAAATTAAAAGTGTTGGATGGAGATAAATCATAAATCGAAGAAATAAAAAATAATATGTGGTATGAAAGGTGATAAAAGGTAAGGTGATTTCTGATTATAATTTTTTCAACGATGGTCCTAGCTTTTCCTACGTATACCTAATAATTGTAGCACCGGCCCAATACTTATTCAAATTTTCTTTTCCAAATCTTATGTAATAATGGCTTAAATATCGAAGAAGTAGTAACACTGGTACACTTATTAGCTCAACGTGTTCCAAATTACAGTTTAGTACATGTATATTTTGATGTGTCTCAAAATAATACTTACGTGAATGATCATTTCGTTTTTGAAGCGGCATGCAAGATTGTTCAGGACACAATCAAACACAGCCAAGCAGAGCAGAGAAAATATGGAGAAAAGAGAAAACCAAGTAAATACATTTTTGCTGTCGAAATTGATTTTATCAGAAAAATAAACGACGACTCGATTCATAACGAGACACCCTTGACTAAAGCACTTGTGTTGTAGCTTTGCAGTGCTTTTGAAATTGCATTGAAGTCAGAATACATTCCTTAATTACATGAAGTAGTCAAGGATTCTCCAGTCAAAAAAGTGCAGTAAGATTTCAAAAATGTAAGCCGACCCTTCAATAAGTATCTTAACACTCTACTAATTAGAAATAAAACATTATTCTCTCTAGTAAAATTAATGTAAACAGTAAGAAAGAAGATAGCGAAAGATGTGCACAAATATATAAACGTTAAGCAGGAGAAACAAAATGATAGTTATTGTAAGGTCGGGCATTTTATTAAAATAATGCTGTTCTGCCAAAACACAAATCCATTAACGGCAAAATGGAATATATAAATTAATGTAGTGACTTTTAGAGATATTGTGTAATGTTTGTGTGTGTGTGTTTTGCCAGCCTAGCCTAAGCTAAGGAAAAAGATAAAATAGTTATCTTATTTAATAGATCGGCATGTCTTTTGCTCTTGATGTCTTAAAACTATTTGTGCATCCATGGATGATGTAGCCCTATTTGATAGTTTTGTGTTAATATAAATTGTTGATGTGACCTGGGTGTGACTGTTGACGAAAGTAATTGTCGTTCTTTATTAATTTTATAACAACTTTGCAATATTTTACACAATCCAAATGCGGAAAATAGTACTAAATACAATTTCATGATGACGTGACATGAATGTCTTCGTGAAAGATAATCGAGTATATATTCTATGGTAAAAAAAGCATTTTTTCTGATTTTTCAGTTGTCCTAAAGCTTAAACTGATGTACGAGTAGGTAGGTAATAATAGAAAAAATGTTTGTATAAAATTATGCTGTTACCACACGTGAAGAGGTGTGTTTTGCTGAAAAGTAAAGCCTTTGTATTATGTTACAAAATATATTAAGTTCGGGAGTCAACGCGTATGGTTGAAGTAGCCAATTGTGTTCGTCAGATATACAGAAATAATACAGGAATCTTAAATAATATAATATTAGCTGTATACAAATGACTCTATCGTATGTGTATAATTAAATTTAACTTAAATTATTACCAAAGTCCCTGTAGTTAGCCATTCAGTGCACAATATTTACCGCCATAGTCGGCAAATAAATATTTCAAAGTTCTCATTCGTATTTAAGGTTATTCAAATTTTTTTCGTCGTTTACCTCTGTAAACATTTGTTGCTTGAATCTGTTTGATATAAACAGTTTGTTTAAATAGTCTCTGATGTGGACAGGTAAGGTCTAATGCGTGTGTGTTTCGTACCTGACCGCCCTCGCCTTCGACGCTCTGGAGTTCACGCCATTCCTCAATGGTCTGCGCCAAATCAACCTGGCACAGCGGTACCTTCACTTCGCCAATCTGGTCGTGTTTTGAAAACCGATCGAAGTCGAATATCGCGAATACGAGAGTCTTGTTCATAGCGTCAGCATATGGTACGCTCTAGACAAAAACGGTAATTAGAATTGTCTACTAATAGGAAGAAGGCATTAATTACACATGAATAAAATTATGAAAACGACGTCATTCGATTGTGAAATTTTCAAAAAGTTTCCACCACCATTTATAGGTATTTCAGGTTTCAAAACTAATACATTTAGTAATAGATTTTTGTTGTCGGCGGTCCAGATCTTTGGTTCGCTGAGCAAATGTACCTACTATTTTGTAGTATCTAAAAATAGTTACCTTGAAGACGAAAGTTTCGTTAAAGACCGGACTGAGTGTTTTTCGATGGACCTTGGTTTCGAACTTCTTCTTCTTATCAGGAAGTAAGTAGACCTTCACGTAAGGATCCGAGGTGCCTCCCATATCCAGAGCGGGAAGGTCCTCAGCTTGAATTACGGTTACGGACAAACTGTTGCTGTTGAAGTCGTATTCCAGCTGCCAAATGGAAACAAATGTTATTTTATCTGATTACGTTTGTCTTGAAATTACTACCATGCAAGATTATTCCTCTACAAAAAGTACAATTCATATATGGTTGATCGTTTACAATTGATAACAACAACAACGCCTCGATAGTCTCGACAGAGACAGTCATCATAACTTAAAAAGATAACATTTATGACGTCGGAAAAGACACTATACTAATAAAGATGATATCTGAAATTTTATATTTTATGAAGCTGAAATTTATTGCTGGAAGTTATTAAACTTTATGCAACATGGATAAAGGGCTAATATAAATCGAAATGCTAAGTAAATAGCGGAGTTAACTGGGTGTTAAGCTTATCAAGAAAACAAACGGCGTGTAACGATCTGAGAATGAAGTCGTAAATGGTTTAATGGGACATCACCCGACGCGTGACACATTCGCTTTTATTAATTATCTACATGAATATATTGTGAAGAGTGATTGTTATTGGTTTCTGTGTTAATATTGGTTTGTCTTAAGTACTTAAATAAAACGCTAAAGGAGAGTGACAACCATTGTTGTGTCAAGATATTTTACAATTAATATTATCGCCAACGTTTCGGAATATTGTTTAAATATGTTAAAAATATATTTCTAAAAAATATGTTAATTCATCATCGAGACCTCACAAATAACGTTCGAACACAGAAATCAATAAATTATAAAAAACGAATTTAATTTAATTTAATATCAAAAGAGAAAACTATAATATAATCGTACCGAAGCAACGCGTACGCTGTACCGCCTTCATTCTCCATTTGTCTTTCAACAATGAAACTACCCACCTTATATTGGAGTTTGCCTAGTTTCTGCTCTTCCTTTTTAGAGTCTCCATCATCAGGTTCTTCGGCATTTTCCGTGAGCTCCTCCATGTCCGGCTGAACCTACATGCACGTCCCGCGGCAAATTTCACATGAATATCTTATTTCTTATCAATAGATATTTTAATAATCCTCTGTATTTATAGGATCCTTATTTATGATGAAGTAAGAATAAGGAATGACGCAGACATTTTGATTAACTTGGTGCATAGATATTTTTCTATATCTATGCTTACGTGTATACCTATATGTGAAAAGTTAGTATATGGTATGATTTTGTGCTCTCAACTGCATAGTTCATTACGAGATAAGAAAGCTTCAAATATATATTTTTAAATATATAGGTAACATTCATAGTTCATAGGTAAGAATCCTATTAAATAAAACTATCATAATATATCATCCTCGCTGCTGTTCAAAGACCAAGTATAAAATTAAAATCACACAATATAAAAAGACTACCAAGTTAATTACACATCACCGTTTAGGTGCCGAATTCTAAACGAACATGTTTCTCTGCATTGGTTTCTACAGCTGTTAATACCGTCACCGTCACTGCAGGGTCCATAATAGCTTGTCTAATCTGCTCATGATAAATGTAACTTCTTAGACATACATTTTATTGAATGTCTACTCAGAATTTACTATGATATGAATTTTATCATACGAGAACTTTTTTATCTTGGGGGGTGTATACTCGTACCTACACTTCCACATTATCCCAAAATATTGTCAACAGAAAATGTTATTAAAATCTCGACTGAGGCAAAAATAGTATTCTCGCCATCACAGATTTAATCGGTTGTATTATTTTGTAATCTGTGTAATTTCCATTCCGTTATTATCGATTATCTTTAAACAAATATAATTTGAGACATAGTGAAATTACAAAATTGATATTCTGACCAAACTTCTTTGTTATAAACGCCATTCATTTTCGATATTTTTTGTGTCATGTTCTCTTTTGCTCGAGAAGATTTGCTGACTTCAGTCTTACGATTTTATAGGCAATATCAGTGTCGTTTGGTTGTTAGTATTATTCATTGATGTCGTCTGTGTAATACAGTTTTAATAACACTAATTATAAACACGTTATAATAGAGAAAATAGCATAATTGTAACATGGATTGACGTTAATTTCGTGAAATCAATTCATTTGGTAAAAAGATATTATTAATCTATACAAACGCGGGACACGTTATTTTAATTCAATACCAACCATTCAAAATAACAATTTAACATAAATGTTGTTTAGCTTTGTGATTGGTAATTTTTCCGTACAGCAGCCCGGCAGTTAGTGTTCATGTACAAATAATGTATACTGTACCTTTTCCTTGTAAGCTGAGCCTAAAAGCTGGACGGACTTGAGATCGACACCCTTCATCCCCTTCTTGCCATCCTTGGAACGCCGTTTGCGGAAACACCGTCTGATGCAGCAGAAACATATTCCGAGCACCACCACAGCAACTCCTAGTCAAATTACCATAATTATCATCAAACTTAAGCGTTAAATAAAATATAAGCACTATATACAAAGTAGAAAAGTAAAAGGAAATGTATTGAAACACAAGAAAACATTTCCCGGCAAGAAGTTTTTGCATGGAACTTCTTGTTGGGAAAGGAGGAAACCGAGTCCAAGCTGCACGAATTAAATAGAGAAGATTTTCAATGGGGTAGTCGAAGGTCACCCTAGAGATATTAAATGACGGAATGGTGCAAATTTAACACTTTATCACTTTATCTAATCTGCAGTGTAATTTACATGAATGCTATACCGTGTTATTTGTAAAATATTAACAGTTTCGCAGAATTATTTACTATCACCATAAACAACAACTTTTGTTCCATGACTTTCAATAATTCATCAAATTTTGCTTGCGTATAAAAACAAAAATATTTAAATAGATCACTCTAAACGATGACAGTTCTGTGTGGTAACAGACGAAAGCGTTAGCGTAAGTACCAGTCCGATGCAAAACACAGGAGCGGGGATTGCGGTTGTCGGGAGGACTCTTGCACCTTTGAACTTACTTCTTATTCCTGAATACAGATCTACAAAGTGTCACAGTAAAACAAAAATTTTAAAGTTTATTTTTGGTAAATTTATTAGGTTTTGTTTAGGCTACGTTTTGTAAAAAGTCATTGAACAAAAGTTGTTAGTATTTTATAAATTACCCTGTACAGAAAACACAGAGTTGACTTTCAACTTTGTAATTTAATATCCGTATACGTACCCGTATCCGTTCAAATCGCGATGGAAGTATTTAGACAAAATTCTGCCCCGCCGTTGTTTTTTCTACTTTGGGCATGATAAAATAGTCAGGAAACTTATATAAAACGAAACACATCACAATAAATCGTTTATTCTTTAGTTGTAGCTAAGCGAAAACATGCAAAATCTGTTGTACATTAATTTTTCAGTCGGTATTACTGTATAGGTAACAAAAGTACTTAACTAAAACGACAACTTACTAATAAAAAATACTTTCTAGTCAATTTCATCGGGATCACATTTTCGTAAAATCCTGATGCTTACCTATAGTTTGAAAATGCATGAAACTGTGCCTGGTTTTCACTCACCTACCACATACGTGAACAAGGGGACTGATAAACAGGGGACTTAGATTTCAACGGTGAATCTTTTAGACCTTTTCAATCCACCACTTTATCTACTATCTAATAGGTTTTGGCACAAAAACGGTAAATGACTACTATACTAAAAATACCAACCATATGGGGTTGGTTAATGACGAAAACACCTGGAGGAAGAAATTTCACGTGATATGTCTCTCGGGCCATTGAAAATTTCATCATGACTCGAATGTACCATACGTTACGTACGGGTCTCGCACGTGATTGCGAATGCCGATTACGCGAATGATGACGATGGTGCAAAGACAGTTGCGCGAAAGCTATAATGCGGGACGGCTTATTTTCATAATGGTCAGTTTAGCGAAAGTTTAAAAGCGCGATGGTTCAGTTGCGTGAATGACCATAGCACGAAGACAGATTTGCGAAAGCTGGAATGCGTGAATGGTTAATCTTACGACGGTTCATTTGCTTCACGCAAGTTTTAGTTAAGATTTCAAGGATCTGGAATTCTTTACCTTTCATTTACCTACATAGGGAGGGAAGTTGATAATTTGTAACATATTTATTTCAATTAATCAATCAAAACAACCTTTAATTTCGATCAATCAAACAAAACAAAGACAAATCAAATGAATTAAACGAACAAACAATAATTATAACTTTTAAATATATACTATTAAATATATATTCTTGTTCACAGTTCGATAAACTGAGTAAGGGCGCTTTGACTTCAATTACTTTTTGATCTTTGTAGTTAACTTAGAGGCAACCTCCTCTAAGAAAACGACCTTTGGCAGTGAAATCGAGTTATCACGCAAGTTAATGGTAAAGTTAAACAGAAAGTAAACATGAGGCAATTATTGTTCGTGTCGGGTCGAAGGGACTTTTCTTTGTGTTCGTTTTTTGTATATTAATACAAATAAATTGTAAATTATAACAAACTTGTGGAGTTATTTCACAAAAAATATATGACTGTCAAAATGGTTAAATATCGTGAAATTCAATAAAAAAATCAATAAAACATGAGACAATCAATGCGACCAATTGATTATTTGCGAATACGAGCTCCAGATAACGTGGCTACATTTTTCACGATAGAATTTAGAGAGGCTTACCTCTCCGTCACTAGCAGGGTTGATTTGTTTGTAACTCAAGCCTCCAGCAAGTGATTAAATATTAAACATAAGTTTTTTTTTTAATATTTATGTGTTAACGTATAATTGACATATATCAATAATTTTCGAACTGTTTCTGGAGAATTCTCCTGAATTATTTTTATGTTTTCTAAATAAGACTTAATCAAATTTCGAGCTTTATTTTCAATAATCCTGACAAGTAATATATTTAATTCTAAAAGAAGTTTATTACGGTACGTTGACTGTCAATCAATTCATTAATCACAAACTATATCAGACACCAACTCCTACGCTTCTTAGTTTGATATAAGTATTTGTAAATCCTGACGCAAACGGTTCATTGTACCGACGTATGATAGGGAAAGTGATGCCTAAATTTAATTTTACTTCATTCACCTTTTGTACGCATGCGCCGTTCTTACCTAAAGCTCATTACCTATCGTTTTACTATTTTAATGATTTAATAAAACCGGCGTACATAATACTTTTGTATAAAATATAATCGTGAAGTAATTTGTGACTTGTTTGAATAACTGTTTGCGATTTCAATTTACTCATAAAAAAACGTTTGAATAAACACATTAATTGAATTGCGAAATTGTATCACAGTACCTAAATTAAATACGTTTGATGAAAAAGTGGAAGCTTCCATCCGAGAAGTTTAGATTGGTTTCAGAGCAACGTTTATATTTCGATACACTGTTAATTACGATTGACCGCGCTGAAATCCATACATCACAAGACGCGGGTCAGACGAGTGACATTGAAACAATAGTTTGTAAACCCTATTACTTGTGAGGTGCATTGTATACCAAAGTGGAGCAGAGAATAGTTGAGTATCATAGACAAGTAGCATTTCGCTAAGTTACCGTCTCTAAGCGGTTTAACGAAACTAGACAATTATTACTGGTTGAATAAATAGAATACGAGTAGAATAAAATAGAAATAATTTATTCCGCATGACGGTTGCTGGAACACTGTTCTTTCATTCATCCTTTCCGGTAGATAACGGACCTAATCGCATCATGCATCAACTGCGCGGCCCAAAGCTTCAAAAATTATTCGAAGCAATCACGTATAAGTACAAACACTGAAAGTATAGTGCGAATTCATTTCATAAATATAGTATATTAATATTGAAGGAATGAATGAGATAAAAGGATTTTTCACTCACCAACAAGAATGGCGACCAGCTGCCAAGTTTCCATGTTCATCTTGCGAGCGATCTCGGCCGTCTTCTCGCTTAAGGTCTCCTGCGTGGTTGTCGTAGTTGACAGCCCTGGCTCCGATGGACTCATTGCTGATGGGAAGTAATAGTTTTATATTATTAGTTTACTGTTATTTAAAAAGTAAAGATAATCTAGAACGTGAAACGGATCAATAACATAGATTTCTAAACTTCTAAGTAAACAGAAATTGTACAATAATGGTGTAAAATTTAATTAACTTAATAAATAAGTTTTGGCTATAAAGTTCGTATTTATGCTGGCTGCATAAAATAGGATTTTATGCTCTAGTGCTTAAAATAAAAAAAAAAACCATCACATTAATGTTGTGTCTAATTGTTGTAATTTTATATTCAATTTTAATAAAATAATTGTTTATTTGTAATATTGCTGTTTAACTTCCTCGCAATCGAAGTGAAAAGCAGAGTGTATAACTTGTTCATAAAACCCATTTTATCCTCGACTTAAATATATAAATGACGCGTTTTATGCACTGGTAGTACAATCTACTATTGTTCACAGTAGATTTGAACTTCATAAACGGTAAATTTTGAATATCACCAGAGACCTTATCATAGAAGCGATTAACTTAGTGAGTTTGTGGAGACGATTGTTAAGGCACACCGTTTATTCAAACCCTCACCGGAGTATTAATGTACATAAAATCAAAGGCTTTGAACACTTCACAGAATACAAACTGTAACATCGTGCTAGTCTTCCTATGCATTAAAATATCGTCTACTCAAAATTTGTAATGATAGTCGGAAGCATTGAAATGTGTCGGAAATTAGTGGGATCGTTTTGCAAGAAACAACATTTTGCTTTAAAAATCCAAGAAATTAACGTCGACGTATTGTCTTTGTTAACTTCTATATAACCAAAAATTGTTTGTTTGTGAATTATTGGTTAAACACACAAGCTAAATAAAGAGTAATACGACGAGCTATACATATAATTACTTTGGCGGAAAGACAATAAATGTCGGCAGCACAAATGAGTTGCCTCAATTTTTGTATTGTATATTCGAGTGTTGTGACGTGGTTGTAATGGTAAGACGATAAGAAAAGTCTCACACTATAGGTACTTTGACACAGTATACAGTACACTACATATCCGTTACACATTATACAATGGTGGATATGCTTATATTTATTACCTATCAAGATAGTCTTACATTATAGAATTACCCTTTTTACCATTTGCCTTTGGGACATTTATCAATGGAATTTGTCCCATTGAAGAGTAAAAATGACAATTTTAATGCTAAATGATAACATTAAGAATAGGTGTACTTGTAAAGACCATTCAATACATTTCATGAAAAAATGTATTTGTTCACAAAATACTTAAATAAATTTTGTTTATTGATCGGTAAGCCATATAATTACAGTTAACAGCTTTTACGTGAATAATGTCATTTAATAATAGATAGCATCAGTAAAATGCTACCATGTAATCATTATTAAATGTATTTACTATCTTTTAAATGTAAAATAGTTTTTATAACTAGGCGGGAAAATAGTATAGTATTATAAATTTTTTATACCTTCATGTGTAGACAAGACGTGCACAAGTTCCAATTAAATGGAATGTTGTCGAAGTTCATTCACCCCTGCCTAACCCATGGGTGACAGAGGCTCAATATACTCGTATATAATTTCTGTCTACTTAGTTTCATAATTAATTGATATTTGTGTTGCGAGATATTTTTGTACGTGCAATTAACAATTTTTAAGCACTTTAATTTCACTAACTGAAAGGAGTATAACTACATACCACTATATAACTACCTGCTGCATAATGTATTTATAGTAGAAAGTCGTAACAAATTATGTAAGAGGGTTTTTTCAACATATATTAGTCGCCTCGAGCGTTAAAATACAATATATAGTACGAGGATCGTCCACGATGTAGGATTCAAGCACTTTCGACAAACGAGCAATGGCCGAAAGTCGAAGCTCTCCCGCGAGACTCTGAAATTAATGAGGGTAAAACGTGAAAATGTTAAGGCGATGAGGTGCCCAAAATCGCTTAAATATGGTGTTTTTGTGTAAGTTTTTAGGCGATAACATAGCAAGTGGAACTTTGAAAATAGTACACAGGTATTAGTATTACAGGAATACGTATCTTGAAGTGTAGCTTGAAATTCCTAGAATATTGCTTATTGTCATAAGGTAATACAAAAACTGGATTACAGTGAGACTTTGGTGGTTATTTTTTAACATATTTTTCTCGGGCAAACGAAACTTGCCTACTACCAAATTTGGTGTGGTTATTTAAATGGTACTTATCTTGATCCTGACGCTTTATTTGTTTTAAATAAAAGACAAATAACAAATTTAGGAGTAAAAAGTAACTTTCGCCTACTAAAGTACGAGTTAAATATTTGCTTGCAAATTATGGACAGGCACGTAACAGTGTGAAAAAATATCATACACAAAAAAATACGTAAATAAGTAAATATAATGCACCAATTTGTTGAAATCAAAACAAAATATTTTAAAAAAAGTCAAATATTTTACTAGGTGATTTTTTGATATATATTTCGATATTTTATTAGATGAGCATAAAAAAAATATATTTTTGGTTGGATTAGAACCTAAAACACAAAGTATTCAAAACAAAAACGAAATTATTGTTTGCGTCCTTGATTATTTAGTAAAATTGCAACGTTGAAAACTTCAGCTGCGTAGCTAGCGTTCGTGGGATACGTTGCCAGACCTCTGTTTTGACATGGTTTCGACAAATTAATTTATATTGTATTGTAATCGGCGGTCTACCGTCGAGCACGATACTTACGAGATATGTAGTTGGACATAGTTATGCAAATTATAACCAACCCACAAAATGTCACTTTTGAGATAATTAGATTTTTGTAAAAACAGTGCGAAGAAATAAATAGGTAAGTTATTTGAGATTAGATATGCGCCGAGTACTCGTTTGCTACTCGGTACCCGGTGTACTCGGCCGAATAACTCGGTTCATGAGAAGAGTACTCGGTTAAAATAAAGCATCACAGCTATAGACATAATCAAGTAAAATCAACAATATATTTAAAATATTGAAAAGAGATTTATTACTAGAAATTGTAAAAGTTTCTAGCAATTTAGTAATTTAAAAAGAAAGTTTACATTATTAATATTTAAAATTTTATAAAGGCAAGTTATGATGTAGGTAGTAATATTTACAAGGCTTTTTGCGTGTTCAGGTACTAATCTGTTCTTTTCTTCCTCCTACATATTACCCGCTTCGGCAAATAACCGCTCGCTATACACAGTGCTTGCACATAAAAATACTCGTGCTAATTGTGCCAGTTTTGGATATTTTGTTTTATGCTCTGCCCACCATTGGAAAGGACTCTGCTCTCGCGACAATAAACTTTCATTGACATATCAGCCTAATTCTAGAGCAACGTGGGCTTTTAGGATCATCGCGTTCTGGTGGTAATGAACCGAGTGACTCGGCCGAGCACTCGACTCGCATATGTTAAACCGAGTAATATTCGGTACTTGGTTACTCGGTAAAACTTGTACTCGGCGCATCTCTATTTGAGACAAACGATGTACTGTAGCAGTGAGAACGATATACGGAAACGATTATATTATATAGCAATAAATAGAAAACATCATGTATCTTTTTACTTAGTTAACGAGAACCATGTTCTAGTTTTCGTAATGAAAACGCCAAAGATCTACAGTACTTCAGTACATGTGACATGGATCCGTTTAGCATATTTTAAAAGAGACTTTATATAAAGTTATAAGAAGCAGGAAGGTTCTTTTTAGCTATTAAAAAGTTACTTATTTAGGGTTGGTACCCTGAAGGACTTTTATTTTCTCCGTTGTGGCTTGGTATGTTACCAGGATCTTTTGTGAGCGGGTAAAGGACACGTCTGGTGTTCTACCTAAATACATAAGTCAATTTCACTCGAGGTGTGGGTTGTTTCTTGTTTGCATAACATGTCCAGTTCTTATATGCTTTGATATTTTTTGATTTGACAGCATGTGTGTATTTTAAGTACAACGCCATCTGTTAGCGGCAATCAATATTATGTTAAATCAAGCGAAATGTCCAACTACCACACTCTTGCCGCATCGGGGCGTATGGCGCCTTATTGCAGAAATTATAGTAGGCGCGTAATCGCTCAAGGCCATCGACGCTTGTCAGCATCTTAATGCTACCGCACCGGAGCGTCAGTACTTGACAAAGAGGTGAAGAAATGTATAAGGGATGACATCCGCATACACAATGCAAATACTATTCACGAAGTCATAGAAAAAACAAAGGCTCCAAAGTCTTCGCAAAACCTTCCACCTCTAGTTGTCACCTGACAAAACTGACAACAGGTCAGGGAAACACGGTCGCCTCTAAACCAGAAGTACTGGCGGAAGTCCAAAAATTCTACACAGACTTATACGCCCAGAAAAGACCCAGCCTTAGACACCTAACGATCCAAGAGCCAAATTTACTTTCCAGTGCCACCATTCCGATGAGCTTCCCTATATCGACGTCGGTGAGATTAAGATACGGTGAGAATAAGGCACTCGGACAGTCCCATATCTTTCTACATAAGTTTTGTTTATAGTAACCCCATCGAAATCTTGGTTATACGGCAAGGGCACTACAACCTGTGCAAGCAAGCCCGCACAGGGTCCTGACCCCTGATCAGCTCGTTTGCACAGACTTCATCAGGTTCTCAAAAGGCTAGTGCTTTGGGTGACCTGTCCCGGGTGCACGTACAGCACCCTCCCTATTTTATAATTATCAGAGCTGTAGGCACGCTCACTTCCCGTTGCACACTGCACTACAAACGGTTGCCACCGCTAAGTTGTCGACTATAAAATCTACTACCAAATTTCCTCTTTGGTGGCGGAGCTGTAAAGCACGCTCACTTTCCGACGCCAAAATGGTGTCTCTCCCGTTCCCAATAACCTAAGCAGCTGGAGGGATCGGAAGATGTCTAGCTCATCCTTTACTAGCTCTCCGGGCTAGTGCCGAAGATGCCGGTCGCAGTGTCCTGCGACAATGTCAGGACGTAGATTCCGTTTTACAGGAAAGGTCACGTGACCCACCTTAGTCCCTCGTCTAGACTTCTACTAAAAAGCGCTAGCTGCGCGCGGGATGAACGCCCCCGCCACGTGTTACTGGGGCGAACGAACATGTTCATCCCTCAAGTAACCACAAACCCCGGCGAGTCCTGGTACACCAGTGACGCCCGTGTAGGTGTATCACTGGCGGAGGGCCTGGCCGGACGCCCGACGTACCCTGGTCTTACCGAGAAGCCCATAGTCTCCCTGGAACTCCCTATCTCTCTGGCTAGTAGATAGGGACATAACACATGGACAGTCCCATATCATTCTACATAAGTTTTATTTATAGTGCCCCTACCTATCAACCTCTTGGTTATGCGGGAAGGGCACTATGATCTGTGCGCGCACAGGAACCTTACGAGTTCAAGTTCTGACCCCAGATCAGTCACCGTAGAGGGTTGTTACAGACCTCTGTCACTTGACTTCATCCGGTTCTTCGAGAGGCTAGTGCCTCGGGAGAGCCACCCCGGGTGCACGTACAGTACCCTCCCTATTTTCCAGATAAGTACCGGAGCTGTCGGCACGCTCACTTCCCGTTGTGCATTGTACAACTAGCGGTTGCCACCGCTAAGCCATCGACTCTGAGTCCACTACTAAATCTTCAGTTCCCAATAACCTAAGCGGCTGGAGGGACCGGAGGATACCTAACTTATCCTCTACTAGCTCTCTGGGCTAGTGCCGGTGATGCTTGTCGCAGTGTCCTGCGACAATGTCCGGACATTGTATATATAGCTTAACTTAAAGGGCAACTCACGTGCCCCGTGCGTCTCCTCGTTTCAGGCCCTCAACTAGACCGCTATTAAGACGCGCTAGCTGCTCACGAGATAGACGCCCCGGTCACATGCAACTGAGGCAGACAAACATGTCCGTCTCTGCAGCTAACCACAAACCCTAGTGAGTCCGTACCCAATCCTCCAGAGACGCTGGCAAAGGCGTATCACTGGCGGAGGGCTTAGCCCGGACGCCCGCGTACCCTGGTCATGCCGTCAAGCCCGTAGTCTCTCCGGAAAACCCCATATCTCATGTCGGTAGATAGGTATAGCACTCGGACAGCTTAAAAATAACAAAACTCCGGAAGACGACGGAGTAACGACAGAGCGCGTTAAGGGTGTGGAACCTTATTAAAGAGGCTAGCCAACTTTTCACGCTGGCACTAAACCGAAGATATGAAGGGGGAGTGTGATATTGAGATATTGAGAGCTGTTTACGCTGCAGCCACGATGACCGTTGTAGGATAGAGTACAAGACCAATCCAACTGCGTTATGGTGTAAAACAGGGAGACGTCATCTTTCCGAAACTGTACAATAACGCATTGGAAGACGTCTTTAAGATGCTCGTGTGAGAGAGGCGGGGCATCTTTTATACAAAAAACCAAAATATATAAGAGTTATAGAACTACCTTTTCGAAATCCAAATTGAGAGTGGTATATTATTTTGTGCTTCTCTAAAAATGCATTCAGTCTAGAATGCTGTATGAATTTAAGAATGATCTATTAACACTCAAAAGTAAAATATTTTACAGTTGCCGTAACTTCATAAGATACTGATAGCTTATGTCCTCTCTGCCTCATAATGGTAATAAAATATATGCGTTTACTTACGTAAGGATGGCTCGGTGGCAGACGCGACGGTAGAGCTGGTCGGGCCACCCGTGGAGACCAAAGGGGGCTCTTCCACCGCCTCGCGGGGCCATCGCACTAGTCTGCGCAGCAGCGACGGCGACATATCTGTACCAGAGACATATAGACACAAATTAATATAAATATAAATGCCTAAATAAGCCATCTCGAACATTTTGCTTGTCCCTTTGGGCATGCACGAGTATACGTCAATACTGTTAAACACAATAAATATAAATGAATAATAAATAAATAAACGCTATGTGGTTAAATACTGAGCGTATTAAATACATAGCCCAATCGGTTGATTTATCGACTGACTGAATGACTTTTTGAACTAGGCAATCATAATTTCTAAAAATTCGTTCAAAGTGTAGTTATGAACTCTGGCATTTTTATTTCGATTTAAATTTGATTTACAATGTTGAAGACGCAATTCAAAATATTCATCGAGCTGTAAAAGCCTTTTAAAACATTAACGTAGACGTAACGTATTTATTTCCAGAGATCGTGTCTAATTGTGATTTCGAACCAAAATGTTACCCCTTCTAAGCCCTATATTACATAATTGTTACAACCTGTTGGGAAATGTACGTTACAACCTAACGTAAACTTTTTCCTAGTATCTAATTACGTGGTTAAATGCTACGATGTCAAATAATACCTATTATTCCGATATATTATGATGTCGGTATTATGTGTCACACCAATTTTGCGCATGATAGTCAATTCGTTAATAATATAAAATAGTGGTAGCTGGAAATTAAATGTGGTGAGACAAAAGTGATAAGCCTAATGGAAAAAATATGTTCTACTAAAAGTGGTTCTGAAAGTGGTATTATATAATATTATACAAAGATAAGTAGATTAACAGTCCGCAGAAATAGTTTATAATAACAAGGGTAAGATAGATCAAAGTTCACAAGAGCGTTAAAGGGACTAAGTAAATTAATAGAATTGCGTAGGCAGTTCTATTAGACTTTTGCTCGTCGCTTGTCACGTTACAAGCTGATGCTTTTATTTTTTATAGAGATCGGTCGCGCTCTGAATGGCTAATGGCTCTGAAGTCTCAATGGAACTATTTCCAACCCTGGGGTTGGAATTGGAACCTTATTTCGGGAAGATGTAATCGAACACTGAAATAAATAACTGTTTTGGGACTCCAGCCGTTATTTATGATCACTGACTCATGTGACGCTTATTACAAATCAAAGTTCCTTGTAAGTAAATCACATTATTTAAATATTTCATAGAATGAAATAAATAAAACTGATGATCTTCCATGGAAGACCTCAATAAAATGTCCTATATATATATATGAATTATATATAGCTAGGGTACTAACACTACAACAAATTCTTTATTTTTTTTATTACATGAATATTTATGAATAGAAGACCTTTCTGAATAAGTCAGGTCCTTTCCAATCCACCCGACCGTAGCACAGGCAACCATGTTGAGTTATAGGTATATACTATGAGGCAAAGCACAGGAATAGATACTACAAAACTCAAAATCCTTTCATTAATTGGTCAAAAGGAATTCGATTAGAGATTGAGAAATAATTGTAAGGGTAGAGTGGGCTATAAAACGCTTAAGTAAACGCAAAAGGTAATAATCAGCTAACCGTAATGGCTGGCAAAACTGGATGTGGTTTTGATATTAATGATGTGCAGTAACACTGACCTGATTTTTGATCCCTTCTACAAAGTCAAACACAGAATGTTAAATCCTTTAGTTAGCAGTCACTTATCACTGGTTTGGTTCATTTCGGTTGAATATACTGTTGGAGTGAAGCCTCCTTGTGCTGGGTCAGGATGGCGGAGTTGCGCGCGCATGCGATCGATTGCCGCTGCGCGCTGCGATGCCTCTACGTTCCCCAATTTCCTGGCTCACGATCTCTCTAAGTTTACGTCATACGTTGCGTACATTGACTAGGGCGCTTCAACCGTCCACCCAATAGATACGGGATACCTCGCAACAGATAGTCACTAAACCGCGAATCTGAACAGATTTTTAATATGTTTTTTTTTATTTAGGGTTCGCGTTCTGGTAATCAAAATGGACTTATTGGCTCTTGTTCACTCCAGATGGTCTTTAAACATTGAACTGAAATTGGAAAGTTTATAAAGATTTGTGTTTTTGTTTACGAGCGAAATAAAATATTCGTCTTTCTACATTCTACAGCATTTTTAGTGTCACCGAATAAATTCGCATGAATTATGTGGAAGGAAAATCCCACTACAGGCAAGCAGTCGCCTCGAATGAATAAAAATAGACTTACAGATTTTATTCGACAACCGTTTGGTTTTATCCTCAGACACCTACACATTCCTCGGAGAAATAGTGGATACCTATATAGCTAACTACGTGTATATTAAACTGTTTCTAACGCCTGGGTTGCGCCCAGCGATAACTATCAGCCTTGCCAGACGCCCTTTGTTCAGAGAATATTCCAGTGTTCACGTTTGAACTTTGATTCATTAAGTAAACGTTGTTTGAATTCTTAACTACGTAAAATATACTTCAAAATTTATAAAAGTCTTCTTAGTAAAAATATCAGTAACCTTTAGGGCGCGTTCAAATTGAAATCCTCATTAAAATCTTGTAAAAGAGAAACTTGTAACTTGAGATAAAGTTGTTCTTATCTTCAATTCTTGAGAAAATGGAACTTACACACACAACATCTTCCATTTCTCTGTATATTGTCGGTGGCTATTTATAAAAAAAAACTATTATGTCAGAATCCACCGCAATCCAAATTCCATGAAACAATAATTTACAGTTACGTATACATTAAAAATATAGGGAAAATGTTTGGAATAGTTCCAAGCAAACGATGTTTTTGAGGGTAGACGACTGGCGACCTTGGAAGTTGCAGATACTCTTCTGATATTGACGCGTATTGGGTATAAGAGTACAATAAGACCGCAATGTCATGTTCAACAATTAAGTGTGAAACACACAGGGAGTGGGTGCGGGTCGGGCGCGGATCGGATATATTACGAGTACAAGATCTCACAATTTTTGAAAATGTTGAGCATACTCTCGATGTAGTGAAAATAAGATACTTATAGCATTGTCTGTATCTCGATCGTCTCTCTGATAGACTCCCTTTTCTTGAAAGCTTTGCCAGATAGGTTACAAGTATTTTGGGGAAAAAAATAAATAATAGTGAAAATAAAATAAAATATACCCGCCGCGGTCCCGACCCAACCCACACCCGCTCTCTGTGTGCATGCAGGTAATACGTTTAATGGTTTCTGAGAAGCTTACGGATGCACATAACAATTTCGAAACGAGCAAAGCAAAAACATAGGTGTCCATAATTGTTACGCAAATATTAATCCGTTATATATTTTAATATGTAGTATATTTAAATAATAGTAAGTAATATATTTCTATATACATACATACATTAGTATAAAGCTACAACTCCTTACTCACTGATAGAAATAGAACGCATATTTCCTGATATGATGGGAAAAAAAGATATTTATGAGATGAAAATGGCCTGCAAAAGCTATAATATTTGGAGGGGATATTTGTGCATTTTTGTGAGGTATTCTCTGGTGAATTTCTGCCGGAAGTAGAAAATGTTCGAAATTCAAATAAACAAGATGGCCGCCATACAAATTTCAGTCTTCTATCACGGAAACCATTAACGATAGGGACGAGGTGCTGGAAGGACTGTATCATAGAGGGTAACAGTGGTCTAATTCCCGTGTCTAAAAAAAATCAAGATGGCGAGTTCGAAATGGCGGCCGAAAACAACCTGTTTCGGAAATCTTTAAGAGTCCTTAATCATAATTTGGGGTTAAAAGTTTCTTTTCGCCATTTTTTAATATGGCTGCCATATAAGCAACTTTTTCGTTAAAAATGGCTCCCGATAAAGACGTGCTTTGATTCTGTAGAAAATTTGCAAATGGAGGCCTCTAGGAGGGCTGGATAAAAATCTGTGATCAAAATTGGTTCTTCTCTATTATCCAATATGGCCGCCATACAAGCGTTGGCAAATTGGCACCTTGGAGTCTCTAGGAGTGCTTGACAATAATTTGTGATCAACATTACATTTTGGCAATTTTTTAATAAGGCAGTCATAAAAACGATTTTTGACGTCAGATAAAAATTTGCTCTAATCCGACTGAAAATTGCCATGTGGAAGCCTTTATAGGTATTTGATAATAAATTGCAGTCAAAATATATTTTTGCAATTATTGGCTTTTAAAGAGTTATTTTCATTTTTCAAAGTCAAGTCAAAAATGGTGAGGCCGCAGGCCGAGATCCAGCGTCCGAAGTCTAAAGCGTCCGCACGCCACTATACGTAGACAGTATATGGAGGCTAAATTACGAGTATATTGTTGATAATGTAGAGCATACTTCTCGATATAGTGAAAATAAGATACTTATAGCATTGTCTGTATCTCGAACGTGTCTCTGTTAGACTTTCTTTTCATGGAAGCTATGTCAGATAGGTTGTAAGTATTTTGAGGAAAAAATAAATTATGATGTTATTATTATTATTCCATACATTCACACCAATTTTCTGGTCTCAAACTAGGAAATTTCCTGAACTATGAGTACCAGAATGATGCAACTCTAAAGGTAATAGTCAGAATACCAGAATCAACATAAAAAGTTTGTTTCTTAAATTGATCCAAGTCGGGTCCTTATAAAGCGCCCATAGCACTAACCGGTGGCGCTGTGCCATCGAAGAGCATAAGCACTTCCTGAAATGTGAACCCGATCACGCGCCGCAGGCCGAGCCCGAGCCCACCGCACCGTAGGCGTGGTATAGGGCTCGTACATTATAACAGCAAAGAGAAGGCGAAATACCAAACAAAGATGACGACGTCGATTACTTTACATACAATTATATAAAGTAATCGAAGTAGTATTGTAACAATTTGTTTTAATTTTCTAATTTTAGTTTATTTTAGTAATATTACGAAAAGGCAGATCTCATAGCGGACAAACCTATAGCAACTGTATAATCTTTCATTAACCTAAAAATGATACCAAGTATATCATTCATATCAGGTCGTTGAACACGTGGGGACATTTGATTAAATGTTCTTTGTTAACAGTTTCAGGGTTCAATTTGATATCAGAGTGTTTAATACTGATAAAGCCTTTAGAGCTGTTTGGAAGTCGTGAACAAATTAGTGAGTAAATTATTCCACGTATAGAAATGTCTTCACTGTTCACTGGGCCATCAAACGAGTATTTACTTTGTCCTAATGAAGTACGTATGTAAGTAATTAAGGATTTATTATTTCGATATTACAGATAACGATGAAGTCTAGCACTAGCAGTAGAGCACTTTGTGAAAGAATTCATCCTGCGAAGTAGCCACCTTACTTATTAATGCCGCCAAGCAGTAATGTGACCATTACTGCGTTTCGGTTTTGAAAGGTAAGGGTGCTGGTGAAATTACAGGCACATGGGATTTGTCAATAAGTTGACAAATCTCATGTGCCTGTAATTTCTAAAATATTATTATATAAAATTTTATTATATATTAAAATTTGGAGACATTATCCTGAGATATAAGTATGTCAGGATAATGTCTCCAGTGGCAATGCCCCTCAGATATTTGTGATTTAACGCCCCGAGTAGCACTGCAACTGTTATGGACAGGCGTGTCGCTTACCGTCAGGCCAAAAAAACATTATAATAAATGGTTACTACTTAACCTTAATTTATACGGTTTATATAGTCTTTGTGGACCATCTCATGTAAGTTATGCCAGTCGTATCTTAAACTGAAAAATATGCCTAGTTTTTAAAATAGCAAAATTTTAATCGACGTTAATTAATAATAAGAAATATTTATCTTTCATTAACTCAGGATCTGCTGCATGTAAATAATGTATATTTGTTTATAGATAATGGTATTTGCGCAATACGATAAGAACAAACAAATAATGTAGCGATTTTACGTGTGAATTTATATGCATAAATATTCTTTAAGATGAAAAACAGGTGCTCACTTTATTCATAAACATGTACAAATTTTTGTTTAAACTCTTTTTACTTACTAATTAACCGACTTTAAAAAAGGAGGACGATGTCAATTCGACTGTTTTTTTAGGTGTACGTTACGCCATTACTCTGACATTCGTGAACCGACTCGTCGACCGATTCTTCTTCTAAGAGTGGTCAATTAAGGGGTGAAATTTATTGGATGAAGTAAATATTAGAATTAGATAAACTTTTGAGATAGTTTTTTTTTTATAAAAAAGTTGTAACTATGTTATTATTTTTTATATTTTTTAATAAAAAAGTATATTATTTTAGCACTGGACCTTTTAACATATTGATCAACTATACAATCTACATATAAGTATATTTAGACTCATTTGTGGAATAACAAAGTAGTTTGTTCTTATTGTATAATATATACGTAGGGCGCACTATAAGTTTCCGGAATAAATAAGAAAAAAATATTATACATGGTCAGAAATGGATTTATTGATTCTCAAAATATTCTCCGTTAGCGTTAATGCACTTTTTCATACAAATGAACCAATTTTGAAACCATTTATGCCACTCCTCCGTGACAATCTCTGAAATATTTTTTTATACTCTTCGACAGCCTCTTCAGGTGACGAAAATCGTTGACCGCGTAACTGGTTATTAATTTTTGGAAATAAATAAAAGTCACAAGGTGCCAGGTCGGGATTATACGCGGATGGCTCATAAGGTCAACGTTGTTCACCTTCAAAAATTCATTTCTCTGTCTGTGAGAACTGGCATTATCGTGGTGCAAGATGATACGGCTTTACGGTTATTTTTACAGAGTTCGTCAATAACTTCCAGT